CTTGGCAGCTGGAACAGCTATGATAAATTAGATGGTTCTGTTAGTGTGGAGATTATCTCGATCCGCGTGAGGATAACTTACTTAATGGTGTAGTCATATAATAAAATACAATTGTAATGTAATATAAAACAAAATACAATACTTATTGGTTATTAATCAAAATACTTCATTAAAATACAATACTACCTAATTGGTTTATCAATTAAAATACAATACTACCTAATTGATTTATCAATTAAAATACAATGCCAGGAAATACCTGATAAATAGGTGGGTGGTCATTAAAATAAACTTTTAATAGACAGTCCAACAATTATTTACAATATAGTTTCTATTTTTCTCTTTGACAAATAATTTATATTTCAGGATATATGTCACATTACACATTATATGGTAATCTGTTTTGTGTTAAGAGTTATTTCCTCTAATACCATCTAAGTGTTAACAATGTATACATTCTAGGCTGTGCGTGGTGTTCAAAGCCTGGTTAACAACAATTCCACATGAAACTTTTATCTTATTCCTGTACATCCCAAAATAATTTTGATTTTTTTTTTTTTTTTTTTAGAGGAATCTCAAAATTGCTAACACAAATATCCTTATAATTAAAACTACCAAATCATTTAATGTCACTTTCTATAATAATTTGAACTTTCAATTTTGAGACATATCACACACACAAAGAAAGTGCAATAATGTGAAATATTTCTATTTAGGTTTCTAGGACTTGTGACAGTACATGTACAGCCTGTCATTAAATGACACTCATAATTTTCAGCAAGGATCATTTTTATATTTCTCATCAAAAGCTATTCGAAATATGCTCATATTACAGATTTATGACAACTTGTTAAATTATTTCTGACATCATCTTGGGCATGCATGCAACCAATTTAAGCTTCGCAGCAACATCAACTCTCATTAAGATCGGTGGGAAGATTAAATCAAACCCATTAAGATATATACAGTTAAAATAACAACTAATGAATAATTTATTTCTTGACGATATTTACCAACAGACATACAACATAAACACCATAGCTAAATTGTACATACAAATATGGCTACTATTGCCTGATTCTCAACTATCACAGTACATTTGAAACTAATTTCACTTACTTGAGCTTGAATCAAATGTCCCCTGCTCCCCTAAAAAATCTAGGACTTGAGCAAGGCTATTAAAGGTAATCTTAATCAAGTCCAAGATTATTTTTTACTTTCACAGAGGGATGGAGCCAATCAATGCAAGTCTTTGTGACCCAGACTGTTACAAGCACCTGTGTACTATTTTCCTGAAGGTGAAATAGAACACATCGTACATGTGCTATATATCAATTGTGCAAATTAATTACATTTCCTTGCTAAACTGATTCTTTTCTCAGCCAATTATGTAATCAGATCATTTCATTTAATCTCAATTTAAAACAGACAAATAAACATACAATAATGTAAGCACATCAATGTCAGCATTGTTACAACTAACTGTGGCCTTGTTTTATGATTAACACAATAAATCCCAGAATTCAATACCACTGTGACACTGACTTTAGCCGTTTCAGGTATACTGTACAAAGACAGAAGAATAAAATGTGATTCTGTGTTAAAGATTTCACCTGATTTCCATATTTTGAAATATTTTCTATTTCAATACCAGGAAGTTATGCTTTTTTTCAACAAAAACAAAATTCAACAAAGTCTCCCTAACTAATACATAAAATCCACCATTTTCAACATATGCAATTTATCAATGATTCTGTGACAACATGCATAACAAAATGTACAGCTAAGATTGCATCTATTAAGTTAAAGATATTATAAATAAGAACTTATTTTCAAAATGACATCAAAAGAAGCTAAAAATATACACCAATTACTTTTCAAAGAAAAAAAGGATGACTTAACACCAGATGACCCCAATGTAACACACAATAATTTGAATGATGGCTTTGGTTGAAACTAGAACAGCTACATAACCAGTCTACAATAGAGTTTGAACTAGAGTTAGACTTCGAGTTTATTCAGGCCAGATACACTGTATATGATCCGATATTCATTTTCCTACCCAACAGATTTGTTTCCCAATTTAATTGTGATATCTTTGCCAACACTTTTCGTAGGAAACAGTTTACTGATATTAATATACATCTGTAGATAAATGGTTTTGATCTGAATCTGGAAATTTTCAACTGAGAGAAAGGATGGGGAAAATTTAACTAATTTAATGACTTTATATGGAAATCTTGTAGAGAATAGAGGATTCTTGTGGTAAGGTTCTTGGTTGACAAGCCTCTTTGTTGACAAGAGTCTGACCCTTCTGATCGACAAGCCTCTTGGTTGACAAGAGTCTGACCGTTCTGTTTAACAAGCCTCTTTGTTGACAAGAGTCTGACCCTTCTGGTCAACAAGCCACTTTGTTGACAAGAGTCTGACCATTCTGGTCGAGATTGTTTTGGGTTATATGCTGAAGGTTCTATTAGTTATGACCCCTCCCCGAAGGTTCTATTAATAATTTCCCCCCCCCCCGCATCCCCTCCCTCACTGACATTGTAAACATGTATATGAATTGTTAAAAAGAATGAAAAAATATGATTCTTTATTTGCATTGAATGCTTTCATTCTTAAACAAGGAGATATGAGTAAGGATTGGGACCCATAAATAAGGCTGTCTTTGTGCCCCTTCATTTGAAAAAATATTATGGTTACTTTTCAGCATTTGTAATATTCTTTAAGAAAAAAAAAGGAATATAAAGCGGATCAACCTCCCAACTCTCACCTTAGCCAGATTCAAAAAATATGTTCAAATTCTGTATACCAATATTTCTACATCTCTTTATGATAAAATATAGTTCCATTTTTAAGATATAAAGCTTAAATTTAAAAAAAATAAAAATAAATAAATATAAAGGTATGAGTTCAAAAACTAAGCACCACGAATCTAGAAGCGACAGTATCTGAACATGTAGGTGTAATGTATGTGTATAGAAATTGACTTGTGGGTTCTCAACGAGGTCTGTCTAGCCTGTTCAGGAAGGATTCAGATTGATATGTCTTGCCTGTGCACCGCTTTGACCATCAATGCACATATTCGTAAAACAAATTCAATGTAGACATCCAGCATTTGAAGCATGGGTTGAGATTTATTACCTCAGATGCATCTATGGTCCAAGTTTGGTTGGGTTAGCACTTATAGTTGCAGGAAAACTAACTTAAATACAAAAACTTAATGTTGATGGAGATGCTGACAAAGTCAATGGACCGTGAAAGGTAGGGCACACCAATCATTTAATGCATGAGTTGAGATATAAGACCTAATATGCATCTATAGTCTAAGTGCGGTTGGTCTAGCACTAATACTTTCAGTGAACTAGTCTCGCTTCTGCTACTTTGTCACAGCAAGAAAAAAATAAACCATTTTCTTCAATAGCATTACAATATAATATAACTGTCAAATAAAATATGGGACCTGATTATCACATGTACCTACCTACACATGTCCTTGGCTATGTAAAACAAGAGGCCCAAGGGCCTTAGCGGTCACCTGAGTTATATCATAGGTACTGGTAGCTTTANCAATTCTGACCAAGTAAGAATAATTTCCAACAGAAAATTATCAAAATATACCCAAAAGTGTTGTTTCCCTATATAAACTATAGTAAACTTTACCCCCTCCCCAAGGGAGAACGGATAGCTCGGNCTGGGGATGAGGCAGGAATCCCAATTTTCAAAAGTAATACTCTCATTCACCAAAGATGATTCTGACTAAGTTTGAGTAATTTTCTGCTGAAAATGGATAAAATATATACCCAAAAGTGTTATTTCCCTATATAAACTATAGTAAAC